CCACATCCTGCAGGTTTTCTAAACAATGTTTCTTTGCTTTTCAATAACAGTCTTGTAAAAGCAACATTGTATTCAAAGCCATCCAGTTCTGTGTACGCAGTAAAAGTGATGAAGTTCTTTATTTATTCATTTATCTACTTCAGGTTTATTATCAGCCCTAATTTAAAACATCAGATTACCTGAACAGGATGAGAACCAGAGTAATATGCTCAGGTACAGCATCAGTTTGTCATCATCAAGCTCAAAACCTTAGAGCTCCTTATATTCATATGGAATTTGCACATTGTATTTTCACCTGTATGTCCAATATAAACAGAATGTTTATAACAAAAAATAAATACATAAATTGATTTGCTTGTGACCTGGTGGGAGGTTAATAAAATATTAACTGGTCTGTTGTGCCAAGAATGATTTTCTTCATTAAACAACATTAAGAAAGATTTTTAGGCTACCTAATGTCAACAGTGCAAAAAGTAAAATTCAGTCAGAACATACTGCACATAAGACTGCAGTTTGCAGCGCTAACCCCAGAGTTTGAGTGTTTATACATGACACAACATTATAGCGAGACTAGCTTACCAATCAGCAGAGCAATGCTCAGAAGAATAGCCAACAAAGCTTGAGCACTGAGCTCAGCGGGCAGGAACATGGCCACTGGTGAGCAGGTCAGAGGTGAGCCCACAGTCTCACAGGAACACACTCTGATGGTCAGGGTAGCTGTGCTGCTCTGAGCGGGGTAACCGCTGTCCTCAACTACAACAGGAAGGATGTAGACATCCTGCAGCCGCCGCTGGAAAGCTGAATGTCGAGTCACAATCCCAGCAGTGTTGTCTGTAAGATCAACAGGGATGCTGCGTTATTATTACATTACATACAACAACTATGTACAACATCATGCATAGTAACATAATAATTACTGCTAATTAATAATTGGACTGGTCAGGTAATAATTGGTATGTAAGCCAGGTATAAACACTCTCAGGCTTGTTTTCATTGAAATGAAACAACTAAGTTGGCAGTTTGGCTTAAATTAGTCCTAAAAGCAAAGCATAAGAGGGACCAGAGGGACAACTGCGACCTCTGGTATCATTTAGCATTTATACAGACAGTAGATAAAATGTTATACTGTTATACTGCATGCTGGTCAACATGCAGAATTTACAATAAGTAACAGTACGCAGCAGTAACAGCAGATGGAGATTTGTGATTTCAAGGCAACATTAAATAATCACAGGACAGCATTACAACTGATATTATTCATACATTTTAATGTAAATACATATTAGCCGTCAATTGTAATCCTTCTGGTGATTACAGACTCTGGAATGTAGTTCATATGTTTTTTTGCTCATTACCAACTTCTTGCCTTTTATACAAGTTGGTAATATAATTTGAAGTAACGCAACTTCTGCATGTGTGTCCACTTCACACTTTGAAGAGGCACACGGTGGACAGGCATGTTTTCCTGTGAGACGGGGCTACTGTCCTTAACATCAGTTTCAATGTGGTCTCATGCACCATTATTCACGGGGCCCATGATTTGACACACTGTATTTCTGTAACACAAGTTTTATTTTTAGACATTAAAGAAGCTTCTTCAGTTCTAAGAGTCAAATGGTGGAGAGTCCCAGATTTAAAACGCAGTGGGAGTTTCCCCCCAAAGAGGGACAAAGGACCCCCTGATGATCACATGAGCTAAGGTGTGAAAATGGGTGTGGGTCCCAATCAGGCAGGATTTCAGGTGAGCTCATTGTGAAACCTGGCCCCACCCTGTTTGGTCTCTCCGATGTAGAGGTCTGGGCATTCCTCGCTGCACTGTACAGCAAACACCACATTGTTAAGTTTGTGTTTTGGAGTTTTGTCTTTCGGGTGAACCAGTTTCTGTCTGAGTGTGTTGCTGGGTCTGAAGTACACCGGGATGTCGTGCTTGGAGAAAACTCTCCTGAGTTTCTCTGATACACCGGCTACATAGGGGATGACAATGTTGTTGCGTCTGTCTTTCTTATTCTCCCTCGCTGGTGTCTGGTCTTCTTTTCTGTGCCTCTTTGCTGACTTTATAAACTCTCAATTAGGATAACTACATGTTTTGAGTGCTTCCTTTACATGTGTGTGTTCCTTCTTTCTCCCTTCAGGCTTAGAGGGAACATGTTCAGGGAACTGAAGAAGCTTCTTGGATGAGAGGTGAAACGTCTTCAAGCAACTCAAATAAGTCCAGACGCTTTTCTTTCCAAGCTCCTTAGACTACGATGACCTGGATGACTGAGAACCTTCACAGACATATTTAGACATTAAAGTGTTATTTAGGTTGACACGCGTTTTGTTCCAAACCACACTGGCATCTCACTAAGGGGGAAGTGCCCTCTGGCATGAACAATCACAGAAGCTCAACTACCAGCATGCCTGTCCAAGACAGACCAATCACTTCACAGACACAGGGTCCCTCCTTTTCCAGGAGTGGGAGTGGTGTTTGCGAGTGGTGGTGGCCCCAAAAATCGATTCTTTCCTTTCCCATCGCTGTAGGAAAATCCCAGTGGCAAATTCGGCAAAGCCACTGCTTGCTAGGGGGAAATGGTCAAGGACCTGGAGGCGGAGTTTACTCCTCTCTTCAATCTGCCCCTTGACTTTAAATATCTGGTTGAAGAGAGGAGAAAACCTCTTGAACTGTAAAAAAAGAATTAAGATGAGGAAGAGGATGTTAATATGGATATCCTTGGAGATGAAAACAAGGATGACAAAGTTAATGCCGTTTTGCCTTCTACCCAGGCATCGCAGCCTGGCAGCTCCACCGGCGGGGAAACTCAACCCTATCCATCACCCCGTGAGGTCGATTTACATGAGATACGTAATCGTGCAGCCGCCACGCTGTCCATTAGACGGCCTGCAGCGCAGAATGACAGGGGGGAGGAGAGGGATCTGTCTGACAGGAAAATATTGCCTGCTTGTCAGACACTCTCCAGGCCTCCACCAAGCGGCTGATTCCTGCTGTCGTGGCATGTATGCAGGAAATGAGGGGTTACTGGGATAAAACCTTTCACCACAGAGTTTCCATCAAGTCTTACTCTGGTCTGGAGATCGCTGACGGTAAAATTTTGGGGCTCGCTGAACTCCCGGCGGTGGAGCAGCTCGTGCATTTCATCCCCACCAAACCGCCCACACTCACCTGGGTGGGTCTAACCCTCCCAGGTGGGACGGAGCCTTTCACAGCCTCCATGTATCAAAATGTTTATAAATCAGCAGCTCAGTCAATAAAAATTCTGACACGGTCACACTGGACATGAGCCACCTGCTTGATAAGGTACCCTGAGTCCTACTGTTTGCAAGGAGAAGTGTATCATCGCTGATATATCTGACTGAAGACTCTCTGCACCATAAACATGTCACAGGTACAAAGAGCACTACAAATGGGAAAAACTCTGTTTATGGTTGATCTCAGAGATGCATGTGCATCTCCCACACAACACAAAAGCTGTAGTTACTCTTTAGTAGCCGCTACTCTTTGACTTACTTCCATAATCTCTAACAGTGAAGTTTCTGTTTCGGAGCTCCTTGGAGGACTTGAAGAAGAACCTCTGGCCTACAGGGGGCTGGTCCTCGTCCACAGCGCCAACTGTCTGGATCACCTGGTCAGCAAAACAGGAAGATTATGTGCTAAACACACTCAAGAAAAACACAGAACAACATGTGAACTGAAAATATCTGGATTCACCACACGGGTTTAGTCTGTGCTGATGCAGTGCACACCTACTCTGGATGACAACCTCACACTACCCCCACGAAACAGAAATATTCTCAGTTGAGTAAAAACAATTGTTGTCATCACGTAGTTACAGGACAAGGTTGCTGAGTGCTGAAGCCGGTGCTCAGTTCCAAACCTCCTCTTACACCAACATCAGCACAAACACTGCATGGGATTTCCATGGCTGAGCTATGGAAATCCTTGATCATTGCCCAGTTAATGTATTTAACAAATACCTGTGATGAAGATCTTTGTATGTGGTGTAGCTCAGCATACCTGTCCAGCTCTGGAGTTCTCACAGACGAATGTATCTGAAGGAGCAGTGAGCTGAGGAGGGAACTCATTCACATCCAGGACGTTGACCTTCACTAACACTTCTGCAGACAGCGAAGGATTATCTGTGAGGATCAGCATGAAGCCGTGTATAATTAGTGTGACAGCCAAATATATTCATCACAGCCAGTGTGACCCGAACATCCTGTGGGCTTCAAACTACCATTAGCTTGGCTCTGATTTTTGAGTAGGTCACCTGCAAAGAATACATTAGGTAACAATTGTGGGCGTGTCCTGCAAAAGTTTCTTTACTTCCAGCTCCACAGTTTTTACTCAACTCTAATCAAGTAACTCTGCATGAATCACAATGTTGCATATATGTGCAACAGCACAGGGAACCGCAGAGAAAAGGCAAACATCGAAAAGCTATTTACTGATTTGATAAAGATTATCGAGTAGCAGCCCACTTTAATGATATGAAACATGATGCAGCATCATCACAGTTTTGTGCCATTGAACATGTTCCAGTGCCTCCAACAGTGGAAACCATGACTTATCATTGAAGAGAGGCATTCTGGGTATTCACCTTACAGACGCTGTCATCTAAAGGACTGAATCATGAACTTGTTCTCAGTGTTATGTTCTAGTTTCTACATGATCTTATTTTTTTCAATACATGACAGTGATTTTTATAAGCTGTGATGACTGCGGTTTTTAATAAGTAGTAATTTATGGATGTTTTCGATGGTCCGGTTCTATACAAAAATACACAAAAAGAGAAAATGAGGAACCCTTTTCCCACATCACTGTATGTAAAGTGTGAATCGTGAGGGGATAGTGTTCTGTTTTGTTCACACTGCATTTGTTTCTTGTCACTTAATACAGTGAAGACAAATATATAACATGCAAAACACTTATTGGCTAGAAGAAACAATTATTGGTACATTTCTGTTGCAGGGCTAACTCAGTGAGAAATACCAAGAATCTAGAATAACCAATGAACCCATCTCCACTAACTGCATGTCTTTGGAGTGCAGAGTCAAAGTGAACCCATGCAGCCACACGGAGAACATGCAGATGATACATTAAACGTCCTGATGGTGGATTTAAACCTGGGACCTTATAGCTGTGAGGCAGCAGTGCTAAGAACAAGCTTTGAAAAAAGAAAAAAGGAAGGATTCATGTTTTTTACGTTTGTGAGATCTGAAAAGTAAATTAAATTTGTATATTATACTAAATCCCTCATTCTAAATCGACTCCTGGGTCCTCGCAAAGCAGGATTTTCTATATAAGAAAATGCAGTCTTGGTGAATAGTGTGCCCCTGATAAGAACACTTTTCTTATACAAGTTTTCTCCCATTGATAACTTATCACTCAACATTTATGTTGGAATTTCTAACTAACATTTGTTTAGTTGATGAGATGGTTATGAGATGACTGTTGACCTGTTTGCACAGTTAGTGTCTGTACAGTTTCTGACACACAAGTATACTGTTGGTGGTTGTGTGTAGTTATTGGTGTGGAATACTTACTAAGTTTAGTTGCCACCACAGTGATATTGTGCTGAACAGCTGTCTCTCTGTCCAAGTATTCATTAGTGGATATGATTCCTTCCACCGTCTCAATGTCAAAAAAGCTGTCAGAGCCAGTCTGCCACTCCAGAGAATACCTGCACACATCAGACAGTCCATGGACTTTAACTTCATTTTGCATTTTTAAAGAAATTTAATTTGGTCAACCAGACATAAAAACTAATTGCATGTATAAACTCATCAGTCAAATAAAAAAGAACTTTTAAAAATATTACTGACTGGTTTTAAAAGCTTTTTCTGCCTGAAAGTTATACGTCTGCAGTGATCTGTCAGTTCGCGGTAATTAATTAATAGTTTCACTTCTGAGTTCTTAACGTGCTTTTTATATGGAATCATATTTGATTATTTAACAAATTAACTCTCTTAATTGGTTAAACTGTTACTTGGTGAACAAGAATCCAATTCAAACTATGATGTAGAACAACATCGTTACAATTTCCAGCCTTCCAGGAAATGAATAATACTGTTAACAATACTTAAAAAAATAAACAGTCTGTTGACATAATTCCACAGATCTGTGAAGCGCTTTCCACCTGACAGCACTGCTACTAGCATCCAGGTCATAAGCGGTCACTGAGCCAATGATGGTTCCTGGGGGAGTGTCCTCGTATACGTCCAAAGAATAGTAAGGCGTGGTGAAGACAGGAGGCTCGTCCACATCCAGTACGTTAATTTCGACTGTCACAGAGTCCTTGAAGGGCCCCAGATGGAGGAAACGGGGATCTAGCTCTGCATTAAATGCTTCCACCTTGAAAGTATAGGACGCTTGGGTTTCATAGTCAAGAGTCTGGAAAACATGGGAAGAAATCCACTGAGATGAAGCAAAAAATTCAGAGCAATCCTTATATTACCTCATGTCTGCAGAGAGAGGACGCCCACAGGCCGTCTACAGTGATTTTAACTAAAATACTTTCTGAAGTATAATTTTAGGACCATCTGGGAACTTTTTAAAAAGATAACTACGGAAATTTTTGTTTTTGCGGTCCAAACAAAAATATCAATCCAGCGTAAAGAAGACAATTACAAAGCAATGGTTCTGTCCTGACATTTGTATGGAATCATTCTGGAGACGATGTCTTATCCGTGTTATTGGTTTTGAACATACCACAGCAAAATTAAATAAAGCTCGACCCACGACTGTTGACGCTTGGAAAATCTTCTCATCCAGAGTTATCTCCTGGAAGAGGCAATAATTGGTTTTAACTTTGTGTTTTGCGTCTTTTCTTTGCTGTCCCTATGCCTTGTTTGCTAATGTTTGCTTTGCTACTGCAGTTTACAGTTGTACTGTATATGTCTGTACCCCCCCCCCCACCCCGTTTTTAATTCATTAAATTTTTGTTCCCAAAAAAATATATCAATCCAGTGTGAAAGTTAAATAAAAATGACATTTTATTCATGTATGTGACTGTGATTGTTTAAAAAGTATTCTGCATGCTTTATTTCACAGTAATTGTGTTGTAAAATGAAACTATATGCCATTAAGAAAATGTTTTTACTTCCCTTTTGCAATGTGAAGTTTTTTATTACGTGTGCTCAAATATGGGAGCACTGAACTTCATTTTGATGGCATCAAAGATGAGTGAAAATCTCTGGCATTTATCTTTAAAATTTAAATTTAACAGTCCAATCAAATTCCTGTATTTTAAACCACAGTATATGTAGAATTAGTCAGTCGGCTGACATGTTTATCATCTCATTGTACAGGACAGAAAAATGCCCCCCCCCCCACTAAAGCATATAGTTAGGGCTGGACCAGGTGACCCTGAATCCTCCCTTAGTTATGCTGCAATAGACGTAGGCTGCCGGGGGATTCCCATGATGCACTGGGTGTTTCTTCTTCACTCACTATGTGTTAACAGACCTCTCTGCATTGAATCATATCTGTTATTAACCTCTGTCTCTCTTCCACAGCATGTCTTTATCCTGTCTTCCTTCTCTCACCCCAACCAATCACAGCAGATGGCCCCGCCCCTCCCTGAGCCTGGTTCTGCTGGAGGTTTCTTCCTGTTAAAAGGGAGTTTTTCCTTCCCACTGTCGCCAAAGTGCTTGTTCATAGGGGGTCATATGATTGTTGGGTTTTTCTCTGTATGTATTATTGTAGGGTCGACCTTACAGTATAAAGCTCCTTGAGGCGACTGATGTTGCGATTTGATGCTGTATAAATGTCTTTTTCTCTTTAAGACTCTCCTGTAGTTTAATTTAACTGGTACATGTTATTTTAGAATTTAGAACCACTAATTAGCCAAAACCCACTAACTGCATATCTTTGGATTGTGGAAGGAAGCCAAAGTACTGGGAGAGATCCTAAACAACCGCAGGCATCACATTCAGGCTCCACACAGAAAGACCTTGGCCAGGTAGTAGAGCAGATCAGCTACTGATTGGAAGGTTGGAGGTTCGATCCTTGGCTTCCCCAGTCTGCATGCCAAATATCCTTACTAACCCCAAGTTGCTCTCCGATGCATCCATCAGAGTGTGAATGTTGGTTAGTTTACACTTGAGTTTAGAAGTGGGTGTAAATGAGGCTATACAGCGCTTTGAGTACTCCGGGAGAATAGAAAAGTGCTATATAAAAATCAATTCATTTACCAAACGTGGTTCATAGTTCTAAATGCTTTAAATTGTCAGTGAGAATAGAGAAACGCTTTTGGCTGACACGAGTATTTGACCAGTCCACACACACCGTTGGCTGCTGCGGCTGCCTGCGTTTACCTGGGAGTACAAAAGGCTGAGGATTCTTCACTCATGTTCGACTCTCTTGAACAGACGTAGGCTGTCCCTCCTGCCTCTGCCTTTGTGCCGCTGCCTTTTGAGCCTCTGTTTTTTGAGTTGCGGCCTTTGAGATGACTCGTGTTCTATTAGTGTTCTTGTGTTATTTGAAAATTTGAGAGTTGTTTTTTGTTTGAAGTACCTCAGTGCCTAGTGAGTCGTTTCACTATGTGTTTTCAGTTGTGGTAATAAACCTTGTGTTTTTTTAATCTGCCCCCCCGTCTCTGGGCTCATTTATGTTACCTCCCCTTGAGAAAGAGCCGAACACAAATGCTCTGACATTTCCTGTGAGAGATGAAGAAATGGAGGCGTAGACGAAGTCAAAGAAACCAAATTAGAAATGATGCATCTGAGAGGTAGTTGTTTTTTATGAACACCTGCCTTGACTGGTTGTGGAATAAATACAATGAACACAATGTGAAGAGTTTACAGATAGCTTTTAGGACTTAGGATTATTTAAAAGGGAATCAAAATGGTTCCATCCATAAATGCATGAACAATTTTTTTCAATATCACTCTTAGACACCATGTTTTTCATTTTAGCAATATTATGCAGATTAAAAATGCAGTCTTAGACACAAAACAACTTCAAGGTTTCTAATGGTACTATAGATCCAGGTAATGACAACTATGATAAATTGACTGGTTCTTATATACACTAGCACTTCTCTGCTCTACTTAACCACATAGAGGGCTTTACACACAAGTGTATGTAACCCAGTAGCTTTTGTTGTTATTCTTTCTTGCTTTCTCTTTATTTGTATAAATGTATTTCCACTTTCTTATTTTGAAAAGACAAATTTATTTTGAAAGAAGTGTGATCCTCTGTCAAACTTTATTTTTCTTTTTACGGATCACATTGGGTAATGGCCATTTCATTTGTTGGAAGCGGTTTTAGTCCCGCCTTCCAAGCACCGGACCACCATTACACACGAGCTTGGTTTTTCGCACGTGGAAGGTAGACGAGACAGGCTTCGGATGGTCTGTGCGGAATTTTCTGTCATTTTGGCTAGGTGTTCTGTTCATGTGATAAAGCAACTAAGATTTTGGATTCTCTCCGGATAGAGGTAGCGAGCCTGTGCCCAGACTAAACTAATCTCTCCCTCAAGAGAGGCATGTCCTTGTCTTGTCTCGTGTGCATTACTTTCCCTGGAATAGACTCACACGGTTGTTCTCTAAAACCTAAAAGAGAACTATGGATTTGATCAACTGGTCTCTGAATGCTATTGACACCCTTTTCTCAACGAGAAGTCTGGGCTCGGGAGAGCCTGAGTGCCCTGGAGGGACTTTCCCTGCCAGATACACGATGGACGGGTGGCAGAACTGGAGGATCATGTGCCTGGCGGGACTGTCGATCGAGGACGCTGAAGATATCTACCTATTCGGAACCGTGATAACAGGGTTTTTGCTGATCGGAGTTGGCTTAGCCCTGGTTTATCGGAGAAATAAGAGAGCGGAACCGGCTGTTCAAACTCCCCCAAGGCTGCCCGCTGGAATCGAAGCGATGGGACGAGGCGCGACCTCTCACAACGAACGTAATATGGTCAACACCTTGGAGATGCTTACATCGACTGTGAAGGCTCAAAGCAACAACATTGAGCGTATGGGGGTATACATCAGAGAGAGGCCTGCTCAAAATGAGACCCTTGAGCGACAGTTGGAAGACATCGCGGAACGGATCACTGCAGCTGTGAGGTCTCAGAATCAAAAGAATGACAACACCATGGAACAGAAGTTTGATACCATCATAGGGAGGCTCGCGGCTCTCCAACGGGAGATCGAGAGGCCAGTGTCGGAGTGTTAGGGCAGCCTGAAAAATTCTCCTGGGCTGCTCGCATGGAAATTTACAAAATCAACAACGAGATTGCGGACCCCCATAATGGCGCCAGCTGCAGGCCCAAGGCTGGAGCCGAACAATCACTCCCTGATAACGACTGTGTTACGGCTATTTTTCCCGTCCCATGCAAGGACACCTGGATTGGCTGGAGGACTGTTTACTTAGCCTGATAGGCCGAAGGACACTGACTCAGCTAAACTTTGGACACGCAAACACATACACTTACACTGATTAGCACTCACTCATCCCCCCTCCCTTCCAACGCCTTCGATGCTTCTTGCCCCCTGGGAACACGAGGCAGGTCCCGGCCCGTGCTGTCGAATAGATGACGGCGCCGTCGTAGGATGGCTGCTGTGTTTGCCTGGGGTTACTCCTCATCCCCTACCCATCCCTGTGGCTTGTCACGTCTTCCATAATGTTGTGCTGTGGACATTTATGTGCTTTTGTGCAGAGGAGTTTTTTTGTTTCCTGTTCTCGTGCTGTCCTACCATGGAAGCACAGCATGAGTGGAGGTCTCTTTTTTTCCTCTTGTACCTTCCCGTTGTTGTGTACATTTCAGTGTTTTTCTGTAATGCTACCGATCTCCGACTTGTAACCCCGTGTGATGTCTATGTTATGTGTGTAAGATCGGGGGGGTTTTTCCATCTCGCTGCAGGGCAACCTGCTAGTGACAAATAAAAGCTGTTTCATTAAAAGTGGTAACACACAAACCACAAAACCAAGGAAAAAAGAACTAGACTAGTAAGAAACCCTGACTAGACTAATAAGGAATCCAGACCTGACAAATGACCAAAAATTGAAATATTGAGCTCAGTAGGTTATTTTTGTTATGCCAGCTTATCATTACTATTACTGCTGTTATTGTGGAATTTGTGTCTGATTTACTGGGGCGACCGTGGCTCAAGAGTTGGGAGTTCGCCTTGTAATCGGAAGGTTGCCGGTTCGAGCCCCGGCTGGACAGTCTCGGTCGTTGTGTCCTTGGGCAAGACACTTCACCCGTTGCCTACTGGTGGTGGTCAGAGGGCCCGGTGGCGCCAGTGTCCGGCAGCCTCGCCTCTGTCAGTGCGCCCCAGGGTGGCTGTGGCTACAATGTAGCTGCCATCACCAGTGTGTGAATGTGTGGATGACTGGATGTGTAAAGCGCTTTGGGGTCCTTAGGGACTAGTAAAGCGCTATACAAATACAGGCCATTTACCATTTAATTTTCATTTCTGTACAAAATAATAACCATTGTTGCTCATTTCCTGTTTCCAGCCATTTCACTCCACGGTCACCTCATTTCCTATTGTAATCCTGCTAAACCTAGTCTGTAGTTTTGGCTGTTCTAAACTATTTAAAGTGAGTCAGGGGTCACATATAATTGCTTTCTATCTAATGTTTTCAATCCATTTCATGTACACATCCATGTCTTTATCTCTCACAGGAAAGTCAGAGGGTTTGTCCTGCACTCATCACTGTGATGATAGTCCTGGTCAAATACTCGTGTCAGCCAAATGTGTCTTTTATTCAACAAAATGACAAAATTGTCACCAGAGCACAAAGTATGAAGGAATGAATACAGTACAAAGTACAATAGTCCCTTACATGGTATTACCCCAGTGACAGCAATTACAATGGACCAGACGGTCAGTTAGTGTAAAGCATGGCGGCCATTGTTAAAGCAAAGGCTCTTTTTTTTCTCAGTGTCTTTTCTTTAATTAATTTTTCAAAATTCTGTCGGTTACGACTGTGCAGAAATTGATCGACTGCTGCAACAACACCTACTAGCTCTGTAGCCGCCATTTTTACTTCTGTAAACAGAGCGTGTTGTGTGTGACGTCTTCTTTTGCGCACGTGTGACGCTTTGAGGGCCGTGAACCGTTCACACTGGAGCGCGTTTGCTGTCACATTTTATTCGTAGTGTGAAAAACAGACAAAAAAAATTTGGATTTGATCAAAAAATCAGAATTGAGCATTAAGACCTGCAGTGTGAACGTGGTCAAATTCATATGATTTAAAGAACTTTGCATCAGCATAAAACAATCTTTCCATCATCAGCTTGAAGACATAAAATAAAGTGCTGTGTGAATGGATCAATGCTTTGCAGCAGGAAGCACTTAGAAAGCAACTAACGTGCACTAAAGGGTGAATTGACCTTTTTCAGAACAATTATCCCTTCTTGAGTTTGACCATTACAGATGATGTCAAACACGTTGCCCTCATCTCCTGGAACAATGGCATACTCCACCCGTGCGTTGCTGCCTACATCCAAATCCTGGGCTTGAATTCGTCCCACAGCTGCACCCAATGATGCTGACTCTGGTACATGAAGATTAAAAATACCTTAAAGAGTAAGAAAGATCAGTAAAAAGAGACAACCAATTAAACACTATTATTAGTCCAACGTAACTGAATGAATGAATGAGTAGATTTTTTTAAACAATGAGCAAATTAGACATTGCTAAGAGTTTGTTACTCTTAGTGAAGCGTGGAGGGTTGTCATTGACATCAGTCAGGGTGATATTGATGATGGTGGTGGAGGCCAGTCCCCCCAGTTGACCACCCATATCCTTGGCCTGGAGAAGAACCTGGTATTCCTCTTTCACCTCACGGTCCATGTTGGCCAGAGCTGTCCGAATTATACCTGAAAGGATTTGGTTTAACATTTTAGACCTCACTATAACAAAGAAGAAAGACAAAGATGAATCTGGCTTTAGTCTACACACGCTGTATGCCTATGCCTAATTTTGCCTCAGTGCATCTAAGTGCTTCCCACATTTGAATATTTTTTGTATATTTGTCACAAAAAATGTAAATATTAGACAGAGATGATGCAAGTTAACACAAAATGCAGTTTCTAAATGAAGGTGTTTATTATTAAGGGGGGAAAAAGCCAAAATGGCCCTGTGTGAAAAAGTGATCCCCCTCCCCCCCAAATCTGCTACAGGCATCCCCAGACGAGTTACAAACAACAGTGACGTCTCTAACTGGTGAAAAGTTTGAATGGTTGACTGCAGCCAAATCCACCATTACAAGACCAAAACCAGTTGTTCCTGCACTGAATGATGACCTTGAAAACCGCTCACAGAGAGTTAATCTCTGTATACTAAACATTCCTGAAGGGAGCAAACATGGCAGGGACCCTCTAAAGTTTATGTTGGAGGTATCAATGCAGACAATGGGCCCCAGTCTTCCCTACGTCATCTGAACTGGAAAGAGTCCAACAAACCCCGACCGACCTCCAGATCCAGTGAAAGGTCATAACCCCCACACTATCCTGGTCAGCTTCTCCGTATTCCCACAGAAAGAAGCTGCGCTGCGCTGGGCCACAAACTACAAGCTTAAACATCAAGGTACCACTAAAAGGGTCTATCAAGACATCAGTGCACTGTTCAAAGCAAGCCCTGTATCAGAGAAATGTTAGACTCCACCCAGCATGGCTGCGTGTGATGTGACCTGATAGGCTCAGATGTTTCATGACCAGAGGATCAGTAAATAGACTACATGTATGGCACTCTGATTTAAACAGCCTGAAGATGATTAATCATCTAAGCTTGAGTATGTGCTCATTTTCATCCTTTCATAGTCATCAGTGAAACTCAAGATCCGGACACTCATTAACGTTATTGTTGGGTTATTTAGCATCATCCCACATGCAGGTGCGGACCTAATATAATAAGGTTGTATACTTTATTATATTTGACTTTTGATCTAAAATAAGGCAAAACATAATATTATATATAATTATATATAGAAATACTCTGTTTACTTGGAAGGTTTTCTTAAATTAATAGGAGGCAAGAAGAGTGCTGGCTATGAGTGATTTTGTGAGCTATCTAATTTAAAGTTAACAGTTCATGTATATTAATGTCTGTTTCTTTACAGTAGATGTTTGCTGTGGTGGATGAAGCAGCTACAAAGTTTACTTTTCTTCTAAAGCATATAGTTAGGGCTGGACCAGGTGACCCTGAATCCTCCCTTAGTTATGCTGCAATAGACGTAGGCTGCCGGGGATTCCCATGATGCATTGAGTTTTTCCTTTCCAGTCACCTTTCTCACTCACTATGTGTTAACAGACCTCTCTGCATTGAATCATATCTGTTATTAACCTCTGTCTCTCTTCCACAGCATGTCTTTATCCTGTCTTCCTTCTCTCACCCCAACCAATCACAGCAGATGGCCCCGCCCCTCCCTGAGCCTGGTTCTGCTGGAGGTTTCTTCCTGTTAAAAGGGAGTTTTTCCTTCCCACTGTCGCCAAAGTGCTTGCTCATAGGGGGTCATATGATTGTTGGGTTTTTCTCTGTATCTATGAAGCGCCTTGAGGCGACTTTTGTTGTGATTTGGCGATATATAAATAAAATTGAATTGAAATTGAATTGAATGAGTTTAACGTGCAGTTTGATGAAGGACGCCCGGCAGCTTTTTCCCAATAAAGGTCTTTACAGGAACAAAAGCTGCTGTTTTTTCACTATATGTGTGCGCTTATGTTTCTATTGCAGGTCTATGTTTACATTGACCTGCAATAGAAACAGTCACAATGTAAAGCTCATGTTTCCATGGTAACTTGTCTTTGTGGTGCTTGTTTTATCATTCAGGGGTAGGACTGGGGAGTAACTCGTGAGGTATCATGAAGTGAACTGAATTCATGCGACGTCTGAGTTCTGTTAGTACAACTGTATCAATTATTCTTGCTTTGTAACAGAAACGTTCCAGCTGCTGTCCTGTCACCTGTTTTGGGGTCCACAGAGAAGTAGGGCTGGCCGTGAAGGATGCTGTAGACAACGCGAGCACTGTTGCCATACGTGGGGTCATCTGCATCTGTGGCAGTCACCTGTGTCACGTAGGTTCCTAAACAAACACAAACATGTTTGCACAGATTATGTTAATACAGATTACGTTTCTCTCTAGAAACTGAAAAGCAGCGACGTCTGCGTGCTACACACCTGCTGACCGTGCTCTGTGACTTTACTTGGCCTGTCACTTTGTGGCTGAGCTGTTGTCACTCCTACTCTCTTCCACATCGTTATAATACCACTAATCACTAACTGTAGAATATTAATTGGTGAGAAAATTTCACAGCTTAACTTGTTGCACAGATGGCATCCTATCATGGTACCTCACTGGAATTCACTGAGCTCCAGAGAATGACCCAATATTTCACAAATGTTTGCAGCCTGTTTGATTTTATGCGTCTGTGGCCGTGGAAGTGAACCACTACTGAGGTTCACCATATGTAAGAGGACAATACTGACATTTTTTTTAATTCTTCTATAAAGGAAACAGAATGTGGGAAAAATGGGCACAACTTGCCCATCACTGAGTTCACTGATGTAGTTCAATAATGCAGTAATTCCTTGGTGGCCCCAGGGGTGGGTGACATTTGCCACGAGTTCCTGAATATTGTAGGGCTGTTCTGGTTCACACACTTCTGCAACATCACATGGAGATCTAAACACTCCTTAGCCTCCCTGGGAAGGTCTGCCCTTTGTCACTGATTCGGTTCATAGTCTTTACAGACAGGATCCAACCAAGTGGTGGAAGGCTTCCAACTTGGTAGCCTCAGAATCTTATATCTGCTTTTTGCAGATGATGCGCCCTGTAGGCTTCATCATGCTGTGGCCTCCAGCTTGCAGTGAAGTGACGTGATTGAAAATTAGCATCTCCACGTCTGAGGCCATGGTCCTCAGCTGGAAAAGGGTGAAGTGTCCTCCCAGGGTCAGGGTAGAGTTGCTGCCCCAGTTGTTGGAGGAATTTTACAGGGAGATTGTAAGATGGGGTCGTGGGTACAGTGAGGAGGACAGTATACCATTGTAGTCCTTTGAGATGGGCTCAAAGTAGAGCCACTACTCCTCCACATCAAAAGGAGCTAGAGTTGGTTTGAGCATCTGACTAGGATGCCTTCTGGGTGACCTCTGGCTAAGGTGTTCTTGGCATGTCTCCACGAGGCCCCAGGATAGACACAATGGAGAGATCATATCACTCTGCTGGCCTGGGAACACCCCAGTGTTCTCCCAGATATACTGAATGTGATGGCTGGGGAGCGGAGGGTTTTCTGGGTTAAGCTGCCCATGACCTGGTTCGGATAAGCAGAAGAAAATAGATGGATGGATGTATGCCAAGACTTTGGAGAACAAAAAAAGAAAGATCAGATAATTTGATCTTGTAAACACACCCTAAGAAAGCAGTCTTACATATTTGTTTAATATGTGCGTTGAAGGACATGTCCTGGTCAAACATGACTCCAAGGTTCCTCACAGCGTTACTGGAGGCCAAGGTAATGCCATCCAGAGTAAGAATCTGGTTAGATACCATATTTCTAGGCTTTTCAGGGCCGAGTACAATAACCTCAGTTTGATCTGAATTAAGAAGCAGAAAGTTAGCGGCCATCCAGGTCTTTATGTCTTTAAGACATTCCTGCAGTTTAACTCATTGGTGTGTGTTATCTGGCTTCATGGACAGATAGAGCTGGGTGTCATCTGCATAGCAGTGTAAATGTATGCTATGTCTTCTAATGATGCTGCCTAAGGGAAGCATGTATAATGTAAACAGAATTGGTCCTAGCACTGAACCCTGTGGAACTCCATAATTAACCTCAGTGTGTGAAGAGGACTCTCCATTTACATGCACAAACTGGAGTCTATTAGATAGATATGATACAAACCACTGCAGCACAGTACCTGTAATACCTACAGCATGTTCTAATCACTCTAATAGGATATTATGGTCGACAGTATCGAACGCTGCACTGAGGTCTAGCAGGACAAGCACAGAGATGAGTCCACTGTCAGAGGCCATAAGAAGATCATTTGTAACCTTCACTAAAGCTGTTTCTGTGCTGTGCTGAGCTCTGAAACCTAAAATCTGATAAATAGGTTGATCATAGCCTGAAGAAGTAATTAATTTTAGGACGTCTTATAAGAATGGGTTCTAAAAGACACAATGATGGTTTGGGGGAAGTAATTACTGAAGTTAATTTAGAAAGATGGAGAAAAAGAGTCTAAATGAATATCAATGGTGCTGAAAGTAGCTAAACATAAATCTAAGTCTGTGAGATGGTTATGAATGGTTCAAATTTTATTTGTGAAGACTGTTACTAGATAAGGTTAAATGAATGCTTGGTTCAACAGAGGTCTGACTTTTTGCGAGCCCTGTTACAGTGCTGGAGAGGAACCTGGGGTTGTTCTTATTTTCTTCGATTAGTGATGGATACTAAAACGTTCTAGCTTTGCAGAAGTTTTTTTCTGTAGAGCAGCAAACTGTTTTTTTCAGGCTAAATGATGATCTTCTAAATAAGATCCCAGTTTCTCTCCAGTTTACAAGTTTTCTGTGTTAAGGTGCATGTTTGACGGTTATACCAGGGAATCGGGCTTTCTTTTTCAGAGGAGCTACAGTAGTGGTACGCAGGGAAGATGTAGAATTATTAAGCTCTGTGGGAGTAGGTAACCGCTCTGCATTGTTTTGGCACATGGCATTGAAGAAGAAAACAGTAGAGAGACAGTGGCGCTGTCACTTGGTGTTTGCTCTCTGCAGCAGAGTATTGCTTCCTGTTCCACAGTGTGTAGCTTATCTGTGGAGCCAGTTGATTTAAAAACTTCACCCGCTAATTACATTCACAGTATTCACTATCCCCTACCTTATCGGACCAGGGGTGACAGATTCAGCTGCACCTGAGCCAGCCAGCAATCTAAGGAGATCTCCTTAGATTGCTGGCTGGCTCAGTTGTGTCTAAAACACAATGTAGATAACTGGAAAAGTTTCTGGGAAAAACCCAGTCTTGTTACGAGAGACTGTCCTGTCTAAAAAAATTGGTTTCATTTTTAATATATTTTTGTGCACTGTGTATATTTTTATACCTAAAATATATTTTCCTTGATAAGGAGTGTAGACTTTCATTTAGCTTTATGAGTTCTGCTATCTAAATTCTTCATCCACCTACTGCATCTGAGCCTGTAGCTGTCTTACCTGTTGGGGACATCTCTGGGATGCTGGCGCTGTAGGGTCCATCTGGGAACTGAGGTTCATTGTCATTAATATCCTGCACCTTGATGATAAACTCAGACTCTGGCTCAAGAGGGATGCCTGTATGAACGTCAACAGCCTGGGCCTTCAGCGTATAGTACGATTTTTTCTCCCTGCAAAACATCAAGTATTAAATTTACACACACTGAATTCACTGGCACATACTCAACTGATATGATTATGTGTTCAGGCTATGAGTCTCATGGTGTCTCAGCATTGATTCCATGTCAGGCTGCACTCATGCTGCCAAACAGACTGTTAAAGAAAATGGAAATATTAGATGTGCTGTAGATCAAGTAGTGACTCAATTTTGGGACAGGAAAGTGTTTTGTCCATAGAAATGCTCGTCTGTTGATGCAAATGCATGAATAAAGGTAGACTTTTATTGGCATAGTCACAGTTTTATACTTACGGGGGTTGTTCATGTGCAAAGCTTAGTTTATCATTTTAGTTAGTTTATCATCATATCAAAGAGGAACTTTCTTTTATGATATGATTTTCTGAATTTTAATGTGACATTAAGATATCCAACAATATCTTATTTATTTAATTGTGGAGGGGTGTGGTTTATGGCTCAGCTGCAGGGGAGGGGTGGAGCAGTGGGTTCAGGGTGTGGTGTCGGGGGAGGCGGACCTGCCCGTGCCTTTCCTATTTCAGTCAGATGCGGGGACCTGACGAGAGAGCTGCGTGTGGTGCAGAGCCGATGAAGACAGCTGGAAAGCTGCCCCACTGTTAATAAAAGATCACTGCACTAGCAACGCAGCTACAAAAGTAAACATGTGATTAAAAACCTGCAATTGCAAAAAAGCAAAAACAACAACAAAACAACTGCCACTGTTGAATGTGTCCTGTTTAGGTGGAATGGGTTCTCTCTTTTACACACACACGCACACACACACACACACACACACACACGCTCGCACACGCACGCACACACACACACACACACACACACACACACACACGCACACACACACACACGACACACACACACACACACACACACACACACACACACACAGCACACACACACAGCACAGCACACACACACACACACACACACACGCACACACACACACACACACACACACACACACACACACACACACACACACACACACGCACACACACACACGACAACACGCACACACACACGCACGCACGCACTCACACACACACACACACACGCACACACACACACCACACACACACACACGCACACACACACACACACACACACACACACACACACACACACTCTTTAGAGCGTGCTGATTTTGTATAGAATCAATATATAAATTTGACAGTTTTACTGTGTATTGTATGCAACGAATGACTGCAACACAATGTGATGGCAGCATGTGAATATTATCAAGCCCTCGAGCCGCAACCGTAGAAACTCTGAAGGCAGATGCTACTCATGATTGGTCTTTTTTTCAACGACTCCCAAAGTCTCCAAACAACAGAGCTGGCCGCCCGCAGTGACAGTTCAGGAGAAAGTTGTAATAACACATCTGCAGTTTTAAAGCTAATGCATATGTTCAGTGATGTTTCCTGAGGGCAGCAGCTGTTTCAGGTCTTGAACATCAAACATTCTTGCTCAGGTGACTCAGCTGAAGTTGATCAAGCCTCAGCCTGTTTTGTGGGGGAAAAAAATCGCCTTGAATCTTTTGTGCGTTTTTAAAAAAAATCTCAGCCAAAGACAGCATCTCTGTGGACACAATCATCTCTCTGACAGAAAAAGGTTGATTCTGATTTGTCCAAGTCTCACTTCCCCGTCCATTGCAACTCCTGAGAAAAACAGTTTGGGAGGATGTGCCTTCTCTAGGTTCCTACTTAGATATTACTGTTTTCAGGTGCTTAGTCAGTTTAGACATTATTATTGGGAGGTACTGACCTGTCAAGCACCACCTGTGCATGTATATCTCCTGTCATTTGGTCAATGGTGAAGACAGACCCCACTCCCTCTCCTGAGAGTGTATATTTCACTGCATTATCTCCCTGGTCCATCTCTGTGTGGAGCTGCAGAGGAAATTATGTGTCAGAAAAGCATCACAAATACTGTATTGTTTTCTTATTTAGGAGATGATATGCACATTAACTGCATCAGTCTTCATTTGTTGTCTATGAGAACGATATGAATACACTGACTAGCTCCTGCATTCGGTACACCTGTTCAGCTGCTCGTTAATGCAAGTATCTAATCAGCATGACATAGTGTGTAATGTGTATCTGTTTGTAAGCATGTAGACTTGGTCAGTATAAGCTGCTGAAGTGGAACAAGAGTGATCTAAGTGACTATGAAGGTGGCATAGTTTGGGAGTGAGGTGGGCTGGGCTTATTTCAGAAGCTGCTATCTGCTGCAGGCCTCGAGGGCCGGAGTTTGAAACTCTGATCTGCTGGGAGTTTCCTGCACACGTTGATGCCAGAGGTCAGTGTAGAATAGTCAGACTGCTCTAACTTGGGTTAATGTTTTTTGTTTGCAAATGAAATCATCATTTAAAACAGTTTTTTTTTTCATTTATTTGGGTTTATTTGGGTCATCTTTGTCAAATATACATTTTTCACTAACATGCCATTTTTAGTCCAAATCCCATGCTAACTAGAAACATTTGGGTTTAACACTGTAACAGATGAATGAGTTCAGTGTTAACAAGCGTTAACTGTGATTAATTAATTTGAAAAATATAACGCATAAAAAAAATAACGCATTTAATAACACTGGCTTGACATATTTGCATTCCAAGCAAAGAGGAACGTTTGTCAATGCACCATTTCCTGGTAGACCGATTACACTGATGTACACATCAGAGCTACAAAGAATAGTGATGGGATTTCCGGTTCTTTCGGCTCCGAACCAGCTCTTCAGGTTGTTTTGTTGCTTTAACTAATTTATTTTTAACAATAATATAAAATTATGCAAAAAAGTAATTACTAATGTAAAAAAAGTCTTTTTATTTATATATGTTTATATATAAATATATACGGTGGCCCCTAGAGTCAAAGCACGTACAAACTCCAAAACACATTTCTAGCATTAACTGAACTTCCAAAACAGAGCTACCTAGATCACTTAAATTACACAATTGAAAGCATATGTGTATTGTTTGTGTATTTATACACAAGCACTCACATATATTCAAATAATTTAAAAAAAATGTTTATTTTACCTGTTACTACCACACACCAAATCCGGTCGTTGGTACTTGCTGGCTTGTGTAGCCACCAGGTAACACTGCGCCTAGCGTCCTGAAGCACTTCTGTTGTGTTTTGTATGTGCTTTGTCTCTAGCGGCCACCGTAAATATACTTTTATTTATTCACTCCACACAAAATGTAATAAATAAATCATATAATACAAAAACCAACTATTCACATTTCAACTTTTAACTATTTAAATTTTCAGCTTTTTCCTTTTAAACAAATTTAAAGTGAAACAACACAAAACACTGCAAACCACAACACAATTAAATATAAATTAAAATATGAAAACAAAAAGAAGATGCACATTCTCTGTCATATGGGCCTGCATGAATAAACTTTGTGAATCCTTTATCATCTGCAACTGATAATAGTTGTGGATGATTACTATACCTTTCTAATGTTGTTGTCCCTGCTCTCTCTCTCTCCCTCCCGCTCTGTTCCTGTGCTACTGAGTGTAACTACGGCCCCTCCCCCCTCTGCCCAGCTTAAGGCACAAGGCTCGCGTGCGGAGTGAAGCGGAAAAAAGTGCGAGAGAGAGGCTGAGAGAGAGAGAGAGAGAGAAAAAGGAAAAAAAACGCATGGCTCCCAATAAGGAGCCGGCTCACGTCACCTCAGACTGATCAGAGGCTAATTTGATTTCTAAAGACTATCCAATGGAACCTTGATAAAAGCGTGGTTATGTGCAAACTGTGCAAAAAGGAGTTTGCATACCACCGAAGCACTTCAACCTTACGGTATCATCTAAATGCAAAACATGTTGCAGTGAGCACAGAAACTGTGGGAGCTGTTAGCGCTAGCAGTCCCAGTAACAAGAAAAGGTGTCAGCAGCCGAAACATGATGAAATACCTGGCATCAGGACCAAAATTAGCAAGTCAACATCGGACAAACTTACAAATTCTCTCGCAAAATGGATTGCTCTGTCTGTAGACCACTATCAGTGGGAGAAGATAGCGGGTTAGAAAATGTGCTACAGTTGGCGTCAGGTGATCCAGCTTTCCAGCTGCCTATTTCAAGTAAAGTTCAACAGCTTTATGACACTGAAAAGCAAACAACATGAGATTACAGACAGCCTTGCTAATATGGAGGAACTACACCAGGAGCAAACAAGACTGGGGCAACACAAAGAGCCACTTGAGCCATGCAGGTAAATAAAACCATTTTTTACTTATTGTTACTGTTTCTTCAAAAAGCTCTACAGTTGACAGTTATTGTGTAGATTAATAATTACTTTGTTGAACTGTCTACTACAGGTTTGTGACTGAGCTTCTTGGAGGTGAGACGTCTGTCTGATGTTCAGTGGTGTTACCTGCTTTCTGCCACCTGCATCACAACATGGAGGTCTCTGATGATGACCCAAACTACATGGTGAAGTTTAAGACTGCCTTCCCAAAGGTGTAGCTACACTCAACCATCAGTGAGCTACACGCCAGATAGCTGCTGTGCTTGACCCACTTTAAGGATTTAAAGTGTCCTGCAAGGAGAGGGCGAGAGGAGGTTTGGAGCAGCCTTGAGGTCCTGCTGCAGGAACAGTGTGAAGATGGCACCACAAAAGAGCCAGCAGAGACAAAGAGCCTCCTCCCCTCTGATGAGGAAGAGTTTGCACAGAGCAGAATCCACCATCAGCCAGACAGACTGCCCGCTGCAGTGGTGGTCCAGTCGAGCAGGGACCCACCCACAGCTGTCTGTGATTGGTCCTGCCACTTCTGTCCCATGTGACAGACTGTTCTCACCTGCAGGTCACATAGTAACAAAAAGCTGCTCTGAACACGTGAACAGGCTAGTTTGTAACTGGCTGAAAGAGACGGACAGTAAATAAGCATGGAGGTACTGTGAGTAAATGGACTGGTTCTTATGTAGTGGTTTTCTACTCTGAGCATCAAAGCGCTTTATACAACTAATTCATTCACCCAATCACACAAGCACTTTTTCTAAGCTGTTAGTGCCTATCTAACATTAACATACAATGGATGAGCAACAGGGGGTTAGTATCTTTCCCAAGGATATTTGGCATGAAGACTAGGAGGAAGCCAGGAATCGAACCACCAACCTTCCAATCATTAGATGCTCTACCGCCGGAGCCACATGTTTTATGTTCACAGTTTTAGCCTAATGTACAAAATAATGTTGGCTCAGGTTACTCAGTTTAAAGGTGAAGCTGCTCAAATAACCTTTTATGTTTATTTTTTTAAGAAGATTAAACTTCACTCATGTTGAAATTATTATTATTATTTAAAAACAAAGCCATTTTGAAAATATACTTAAAGTACTTAAAACAGCGCTTCATTTTTAAGCCTGGATTTTTTTTTCCAGAAATGTAAAGAGCTTGAGTTTCCAATATTCATGTCCATGTTTATTATTTGATTCTGTCGCCCACTAAAACCCTTTTAAATTAAAAAAAAAACATTTGCACTTTGAGGAATATTTTCTTGTGCGATTAAATGTGATTAACCGAGATGATTAATTACAAAGCCTCTAATTAATTAGATTATTTGTTTTAATTGAGTCCCACGCCTAATAATAATACAATGTATTAATGTATTAATGTATTAATCAAACAACATAATTTCTCATTCAACAGAATAATCTCTTGTTTGTAGAATATATACTACAATAACTATACTAACTAACACTATTTCCAAATAAATCATCCATATTAAATATAAAGTCAACAAATATTTTCAAAACAAGCTCTACTGTGCTCTACTGTGTAGGGCATTACACTTATCTAAAAGGGGTTCAATATATGAAATATGAAAGTCAACAACTAACTGACCAGTGGGCTCCACTGCAATGAGGATCTATTTAGACCTTTTGTAGTTTAATTAATAACCAGTCGGCTAAGATGTTGGCGTAATAAACTGTAATAAGTTGCAACCATTGCAACAAGTCAGTTTGTGGAATGAAGTCCCTCCTAGATATTCAGCGATCAGCTGCAGGTGATTTTTAGCAGTAGAAATGTGACGATGTTACAGAGCGGGGGTAGACCAGTACTGAGGCACACGTTTAAGTTCCAAACACTGATCACTGTGTCAGACAAAAACAGTTCATGCATGAAACTCAGAGCGACACGAGCTAATAAACCAACCACTTACAACCACATGTCCAAAAAAGTTGTAAAATGTAAATCAGCCGAATGCAATGATAAAAACATGATATGTTTATCTGTGAATTGTTTCTTCTCTCAACAGGAAAACATATACAATATTTATAATGAGACAATTATAAGAAATCATAAGTAATGATGGACAGAAGTGAACCAATCTGAAATAATTCTGCCTAAAAGTTATTTTTGAATCATTTAAAATAGACATCAAAGACGTTAAAAATCTCATCATCTACCGTACAAAATGACCTAAAGAGTCCAAGAATCTTGACGAGGCTAAAAACCAATACTGAAAGCCGTCAGGCCATCAGCACGATTCCAGCATCAGTTATGAACACAGTTTGCTGTTTAAAGCTCTGCTGTGGTATCAAGAAGTCAGAGATCAACATTATCCAGAAATACCATCGTCTGCTCTGGTACAAAGCTTATGTGGAAAATAGTTCAGTGATCAGACAAATTCAAATTCTCTTTGGAAAACTACAAAGGAGAGGGACTATTCGGCTTAATACCCAGTGGTGGTGTTGATGGGGGGGGCGGGGGGAGCTGGTGCGCATCAACGCCTATGTAACTGACAACTATAAGTGCTGACAGGTATATACAAGAGCAAAGAACACTACTTTTTCAGGGAAGGCCTCACATTTTCTCCTCTTACAGGAGCCTGGATTTTTAGAGGAGAGCTCCAAATCAGTGCTCACCAATTTCGAACATTTGATGCACTGAAATGAAGAATATGACCAAAAATCCGTAGAACAACTAGAATCCAGTTGTTTTTTGTTTTTTAGGCAAGGCCTTGTGTATTTCAGCAAGGACAATTAAATTAATATTAACTCAGGTTTGTATAACCCCTGTCAAGAACCTCAAAGATGCTTCACAAAAAAGTATAAATAAATGAAAGTATATAAATAAACACAAAAGTAAACAACTCCAAAGGAAAGCAGAGTAATACAAACTGACGACCAGAGTCCACTGACATCTGCTGCTAAACAACACACTTAGTGCACACCCTCCCCAATGGGAGTAACACGACAATCAGTAGTTTTCTTACACACACACACACAGTGTGAACACTGCCCAACAGCCCTATTTGCTCCCCTCTTCTTCTTCTTTAAAACCTGCAAAGCTGATTATGAGGGGAGACACCTGCTGTCACTGGGAGGAGCACAAATCCTCCAGAAGAAGGAATGCGCGCACACACACACACACACACAGACACACACACAGCACTACAGCTTTAACTACATATCAGCCAATAGCTGGTTAGCCAGAACTGTAATCTAAACAATCTGTATTCAAATCCTATGTGCGAAGTGGCTGGATTTATCTTGATGAATAAATGCATAAAAGTATGTGTGTGTATATATATATATATACACACACACACACATATATATATGGTAAATGGCCTGTATTTGTATAGCACTTTACTTAGTCCCTATAGACCCCAAAGCGCTTTACACATCCAGTCATCCACCCATTCACACACTGGTGATGAAGCTACATTTAGCCACAGCCACCCTGGGGCGCACTGACAGAGGCGAGGCTGCCGGACACTGGCGCCACCGGGCCCTCTGACCACCACCAGTAGGCAACGGGTGAAGCGTCTTGCCCAAGGACACAACGACCGAGACTGTCCGAGCCGGGGCTCGAACCGGCAACCTTCCGATTACAAGGCGAACTCCCAACTCTTGAGCCACGATATCAGCTGGTGTGAAAAATTGCTGCCACACCGCCCCCTCGGCCTGTGCTTCGAGGTTTCTGGTAGTTAGAATGACTCGGGGGTGTTGATTCATTTAAACTAACATAATCATCCTGCTGCAACCAGGTTTCTGTAAGGCAGAGTAAATCAATTTGTTGATCAATTATTAAGTCATGTACTAACAGAGACTTGGAGGAGAGAGACCTAATATTTAATAATCCACATTTCACTGTTTTACTCTTTGGTTCAGATGTGGATACTGTATTGTTCTTTCTTTGTGATTGTTTATGTTTAAGTTGTTTGTTGCTGGTTTTTAGTTTGTTTTTTGTCTGTTTGGAAGCTGACACAGTCTCTATGGAGATGGGTTTTTGGGGGGGTAGCAGGAGGAGAGAAGCTGCAGAGAGGCGTGTAAGACTGCAACTCTGCTTCCTGGTCCCAACTCTGGATAGTCATATTTTGGGGGGTTTAATAAATTTGTCCATATTTCTAGAAATGAGAGCTGCTCCATCCAAAGTGGGATGGATGCCGTCTCTCCTAACAAGACCAGGTTTCCTCCAGAAGGTTTCACATGTCTGAGAACAGAATCACCAATTACCAGAGTTTGACCCCCGGCGGGTGTGTCACCGAGTGGGGAAAAACAGACACATGGTTGGTGGTGTACCTGGGGCTTCTGTTTAAGACTATGCTTCCTCCTCACCATCACCCAGCCGCCCTCTTTCCCCAGCTGCTCGGGACAGTCTGCCGGGGAACAGCTAGCGGGGCCTACGCTGTCTTCGGCTGCACCGTTACCAAACAAGGCTTAGAAATGGGCAAATTTCATTTAGACAAGAAATGGTGCAACCTTTTGATACTATTATGTTGTAATGAAGCAATGTGTTAAAATCAGCTTGTTCTATTGGTAACCAGAGTGATGCACTCAGCCACAGAGGACCATCTCCATTAAAGGAAAGAAAAAGACAGAGAGATGGAGATCATCTGTCATAATGTTCTGTGTAAGTAAAGTTGGGCTGCCCAGCTGTGTAGTAGTAGTTATAAAGTAGCAGGAGTATAACAAATCTCCAAATATGGTTTAATTATCTTCTTGGTTTTTCACACGTTTACCCCTGATGTGGACTTCAAGTCAACAAGGAAGGGTGTTCATCATCTGTACTGGCTTCTATTGTGCATCACCAGGTTGTCTTCATTATGTTTAAATACTTACATGTATTCAGTTTCTTCCATGTGATTTGCTGATTAGATAGAATTTGAACAGGTGCAACAGCAAAGAGTTTTTTGGTATTTGTTTTTTTTTTTTAGTAGTA